CTGGTATCATTTTACATTCGGGGCTCGAGCAAACAGATGCCAATCACCCTGCAATTGGGAGGCGGAAAACACCAGGAGCAGCCGGAAGTAGCGGCCAACGACTGCTCAACTCAAACAGGCCGGCTATTTATCACTGACCAAACAACAAAAATGCTATTTTTAATAGACACTGGCTCCGATTTGTGCGTTTTTCCGCGGTCTGCCGTCAAGAAGCGTTGCATACCTACAAAGTATGACCTTGTAGCTGCAAATGGAACAGTGATCAACACGTATGGTCCCATACAACTGTACCTTAACTTAGGACTCAGGCGTACCTTTCCTTGGAAGTTTACCATTGCGGATGTATCTAAACCAATTATAGGCGTGGATTTTCTAAGCTATTATAATTTGCTTGTAGATTGCAGACATCAGAGCCTTAATGACGGGTTAACTTCACTCTCCGTACCAGCACCTCGTCAGAAAGTCCCGGAGAGCATCGCTTCAATAAAGACGGTTTCCGGTGACAGCGAGTTTCATGACTAACTACGACTGTTTCCAGAGGTTACACGCCCGGCAGGTACCTTGGTAAAGCCCAAACATAATACGATGCATTTTTTAAGAACCTCACCAGGCCCTCCTGTCTGTTGCCGGCCTCGCCGATTGGATGTGGATCGATTGAGAGCTGCTAAAAAGGAATTTGAAGATATGATGAAAAGTGGTACAGCTAGACGATCACAAAGTCCTTGGTCTTCTGCCTTACACCTAGTTAAGAAAAAGGACGATGGATGGAGACCTTGTGGGGATTATCGAGCACTTAACGCACGCACTATTCCAGACCGATACCCTATACGGCATATTCAGGACTTTGCACAACTTTCTGGATGCTCTATATTTTCCAAAATAGATTTGGTCAAAGCATACAACCAGATACCTGTAAATCCAGCTGACATACCAAAAACCGCCATAACTACACCATTCGGGCTCTTTGAATTCCCTTACATGACATTTGGACTTCGCAACGCGGCTCAAACCTTTCAAAGGTTCATTGATGAAGTACTCACCGCCTTTGATGAATTTTGTTTCGGGTATTTGGATGATATACTGGTGTTTTCTCCATCCGTGAGCTTCCATAAAAACCACTTACATCAGCTGCTTAAACGACTGAGTGAGTACGGCGTTTTGATTAACACTACCAAATGTGCCTGGGGCCAATCTGAAGTATCCTTTCTGGGCTATAATGTATCCGCCTCAGGAACACAACCGTTTGATGTAAAAGTGCAGGCGATCCAGGAGTTTCCAGTACCGAAAACGATAAAAGACCTAAGAAGATTTCTGGGAATGTTAAACTTTTACAGGAGATTCATACCAAAGGCAGCAAAGACCCAGGCACCGCTGAATGCGTTATTAGAAGGCCCCAGAATCAAAGGAGCTCATTCGGTCAACTTCACTCCCGAACAAGTGAGTGCTTTTCACCAATGTAAGAAATCACTCATTGATGCAACTCGTCTTGCGCATCTGGACCCGACCGCAGAGATATCGATAATTACTGACGCATCTGATGTCTCTATAGGTGCAGTACTTCAACAACGCGAGAATTCTAATTGGAGACCCCTAGGATTCTTTTCCAAAAAGTTAAAGCCATCGCAAAAAAAATACAGTCCTTACGATCGCGAACTGTTGGCCATATATGAAGCAATAAAGTACTTCCGTCACATGATCGAAGCAAGGAACTTCACGGTGTTCACCGACCACCGCCCGCTTACATACGCTTTTACTTCGCCTAGAGAAAATACTACGTCACCAAGACAGTACAGGTACTTTGACTATATTGCTCAGTTCACTACGGACGTTCGCTACGTACCTGGATCAGAAAATGTGGTGGCGGACGCGCTGTCTCGAGTTGAGGAGGTAACTTCGGCCTTGGATTACCAGGCACTTGCACGATCTCAGGAGACTGATCCTGAGCTGCAAAACTTGCTTCTTACCGCATCTTCGCTCAAGTTACAAAAGATTACAGTGCCAGGTTCCGACCACAAAATCTATTGCGACGTGTCTGTTCAGCCGCCTCGACCATTCGTCACTGCAAACTTTAGAAAACAAATCTTTGACACGCTACATAACCTGAGTCACCCAGGAAATTCAGCTACAGTGCGACTGGTCACTCAAAGATTTGTTTGGCCAGGTATTCGCAAGGATTGTAGAGAGTGGTCAAAACTGTGCCAAAACTGCCAGCGTTGTAAAGTTACCCGTCACACATCTGCTCCTCTCTCCTCATTTCCTGTCACTTCCTCGAGGTTCACCCATATCCACCTCGACCTCGTAGGACCTTTAACTCTGTCTTGTGATTACAGATATTGCCTTACTGTCATCGACCGCTTCACCCGGTGGCCGGAGGCAATACCGCTCAGGGACATTGCGGCCGCCCTCGTATCCGGCTGGATATCACGGTTTGGCTGCCCGGAGCGAATTACAACGGACCGTGGCCGTCAGTTCGAGTCTCACTTGTTCCGAGCCCTCACCACCATGCTCGGAGCACATCACTTTCACACTACCGCCTATCACCCTATCGCCAATGGCATGGTTGAACGCCTGCACAGGCAACTAAAGGGCGCCATCATGTGCCACGATAACTCTCTATGGACCGAGGCCTTACCTCTTGTCTTATTAGGTATCCGCAGCTCCTGGAAATAAGACATTCAATCGTCTCCCGCCGAGTTGGTATACGGCGAATCCCTCCGCCTGCCCGGCCAGTTCCTGTCTCCGTCTGATGGCTACACTGTGGAGGACCTTTCCTGCTTCGCGTCCCGTCTAAGGTCGCACATGGCCAAGCTCACACCAAAACCAGCTAAGTGGCACAGCAATACTCCATTTTACTTACCAAAGAGTCTTAAAGACTGCTCTCACGTATTCCTGCGCCTGGACAGAGTTAGAAGATCTTTGGAGCCCCCTTACGCAGGCCCATATAAGGTATTGGAACGAAAAGAAAAGTACTTCAAGGTTTTAGTGCGAGATACAGCAATGAACGTTTCGGTCGATCGATTAAAGCCTGCCTTCACCAGCAATGATAATGCTGGATTACCTGACACACCTGACATTTCATCTGTACCTCCGCCCGAGGTTACTGAAAGACGTACAAGGAGCGGTAGAAGAGTACATTTCCCAGACTACTATCGACCGTAGTACCGGTCTCGGTGGGGGACCTATGTGGCAACTAAAAGATCGCACGTTATTAGAGCGAACGAAGTTCACACTGGTTTTGGGCGAATGATTAATAACGCGGTTTCGGCCACTAGTCGGGAACGTTCGTGAGATGCACCGAAGTTGAGACTTCGGCCGCCGTCGTGAACTCCGCCGCTGGCCTTTGTTTATGCTGCGCTCTGACGCTTCACGCACGCTTGCGTTATCGCCGCCATTACGTGAATAATGGTGTTTAGTATTTTGCACATAGCTTGCGCTTATTGCCATCCGTTCCATGCCTAGCTTTCCACATTGAACTGTATTTTCTGTGCCTTTCGTGCTGTAATTGTAAAGGTGTAAAGTGTCTTATTAATTAAACAGTGTAAATCGAACTTGAGTGTTTTCTTTGTGTTCCGGACTATAAACTGTAAATTGCCGTGATTCGCATAGTGCTACATAGAAAAGAGAAAGTTAAGAAATAAAAAAAAAATTTGAAAGTTTATTTTTCTCCAAGGGATATCTAAAAAAAAATATTAGGGCAGTTGATCGGCAGATAAGTTATAAAATATCTACGTTTCATCAGCTATCTAACAAGGTATAACAATCTAGGATTTGTATTGCATTTCGTGGAAAAAAAAGTAGTTGGGACGCTCCAGGTAGCAGTTCTAACGGTCCCGCGCCTATTGTCCTTAAGTTAAGACGCACCGTGCGAGTGAGACAAGCGACGGTTTATGTAGGTGCGAATGAAAGAAAAAATATTGTAGAGATATCACGGGATATTGTTTTGTTTGTCAGTCTGCTTTTGTGCTTCGTACATAGTAGATGTGATATCGTTTTGCTCTTTTTCTTGACTTGGCTGTGATTCTGGACTGTTTTTTCCGATTTGTGACTACTGTGCTTGTTAACCGAACTTTGATTTGTATTTGTACGGAAGTGTTGAAGATGACGTCGTACACACCTGAGGAATATGCTGATATGCTTATTTGTTACGGATACTGCGATTGTGTGTCTGCGCAAGCTCGCAACGAACACAGTCGTCGAGTGCCGGATGTGGCTGTTTTTGACAGAGTTTATCGGAGACTTCGAGAAACTGGCTCTATTTTGAGACGAAATACAGACATGGGCAGACCACGAATTAATGACGACGAAGAACAGGACAATGAGATAGTGCAACGCTTTCGAGCGGATCCGACAACTTCCACTAATATTGTTGCCCGTGATCTGGGACTTTCGCAATGGAGAGTGTGGTTTACAGTGCATACTGCTGGCCTATACCCGTACCATTACACTCCGGTACACACTATTGAAGAAGGAGACCCCGCGAGAAGGTTGGACTTCTGCAGATTTATGCTAAATGCTGACGTAGAAGACCCAGATTTTCTAAGAAATATCTTGTGGACAGATGAATCCAAATTTGATAAAGATGCCATAACTAATTATCACAACGCGCATTACTGGGCCCCAAAAGAACTTAGGAATCCCAATAAGAAAAGAGTGAAGGGTTCCCAACGAAGATTCAGCGTGAATGTGTGGATGGGTATTATCTCCAATCATTTGATTGGACCTTACTTTCTCCCGGACAATCTAAATGGGGAAAGTTACTAAAATTTTTTGAGACGAGACTTGAGTGATTTGCTGGATGATCTGCCACTCAACTTGATCAGGGACATGTGGTTCCAACATGATGGCTGCCCTGCCCATTTCAGGAGAAGTGTCAGAGACTGGCTGGACACAAATTATCCAAACATATGGATAGGACGAGGTGGGCCGTTGCCATGGCCAGCAAGAAGCCCGGACCTAACCCCCATGGATTTTCATGTGTGGGGGCGCATGAAAAGTCTTGTCTACAGCGAGTCAAATCCAGTTTCGTCTGTGGAAGAGTTAAAAGAAAGGATTGTGGATGCAGCAAATCAAATGAGGACAACGTTGACCACTGGAGTAGTGAAGACTGGTCTCCGTAGAAGAATGCGACATTGTATTAGAAACAGAGGCGGCCATGTTGAACATGAACTGTAGAATAACAAAAAGTTGTGTGAAAACCTGATTTAATAAATACTTTGCATGCTTACCTATTGTTTTGTTATACTTTTTAGGGCTAAGTATTAATTTTCTCCTCCACTATCGCCTATGAAACTAAGTTTTTTCAATGCGTTTAAATAAAACCCTGATGAAACGTAGATATTTTATAACTTATCTGCCGATCAACTGCCATAATATTTTTTTTAGATATCCCTTGGAGAAAAATAAACTTTCAAATTTTTTTTTTAATTTCTAACTTTCTCTTTTCTACTACGGCGTATTGAATTAACTTATTCACTATTTTAATGATTGAGGTCCTAAAGCATCTTATCACACATGTAAAAATGCAATAATTAGAATAATAAGACACACAAAATAAACAAAATTAAATTTAGTAGCCTAAAAATCGCCTGAGTCCACTGAGGTTCCGAGTTGGGTAGAAAGCGAAAGCATTCAGACATCTGCTAGAGTAGAGAGACTTGCTGTGCACTCACGCGCATATACCACTGGATGGGTAGTGAGAAATATATTAAAAAATAGTTCGTGTCAACATTGTGAATGCAATCTCATAAGTAGGGCAACCAATTATGATAAAAATTCTGTTAATAATTGGAATTCTTTTAGAGAATTTAAAAGTATTAAAGACAGGAAATTGACCTACCCATTCGTCGAGGCAGTGAGGTTTTTTGGGACAATTACTCAAGAGGCAAATGAATACTTGGAGACTCAACCACACCTAAATAATATTATGAAAACAATAAAACACCACATCAAATCCAAGTATTCATTTAGCTTTCTCGACTGTAGTTTACACAAAGATGATGTCATACAATGCTTTTTGACTATGACCTTAAGGTTAATATTATTCAATTGGTGCAACATTATTAATAAGATTTTAAAAGGCACAGATGTTGTTAGATTACAAAAAAAATTACCTCGAATGCAATTGAAAGCATTTAATAAATATAAAAGTAAGTTAAAAAATAAGAAAATTAATAAATAAGAAAAATATTATCTTTTTTGTAGCAAACTTCTTTTGACTCCTTATTTTTACACATTTTTTAATATACACTAACCCCAGGCCAAAACTCAGTTGATGGCCAAAACGCGAGTATCCATGGTCAAAAGTATTGCGTATTTATAAAAACAAAAAAACTGTCATGTATGATAATAATATGTGAGGCTAAATTGTGTCGATTTTTGCTCTATGGGAGTGCCCTATCTGATGCGTTAGCTCCTTGTGAGCAAAGAGGATCTAACCACTACGTTGAAGAGTCGGCACTCCAAACAAATTTTTTGAAGGATAGTCCTCTTTTTCAGCCAACATTACGCCGATAACGGACAGGGCCAACTTAAGAACAATAACCTATTTGACAATCAAAGTAAGCAACATAAAAATAACAACTGTCAGTCAATATTAGTGATGTCGTTCCGTTATCGATACTAGTGACGTCCATAATATATCGACAACAGTAAAAAATTTTGATAATAGGTTGTGGAGGTTCTTATTAATAATATATAGAAAAGAAATAAAAGTAGTCATAAATATTTTCTTAAAATAGTTTTATTAATTTGCTACAAATTGTAGAAAACAATATATTCTTACAGCACACGTTTAAATTGTTGTATACACAAATAATATTACAATTTTCAATAAAATTTTAAAAATACACAAGAAATATTCATGTAAAGTAAATATTTATAAAAAAAAACTAGTGTCTAGAAAAAACTTACTTAAGACAACATCAGCAACAAGGTGTTCCTTACTTGTGGAAGGTAATGAAGCGTCAGGTTTGTACCTGACTGAACACACTGAAATTAAAAATCATGATTGACATTAAAAATAAACATAAAATCATTTCTTGCTGTAAAAAGAACTTAGATTATAGTGTCTATAAAAAACTTACCCAATTTAGGATCAGCAATCAAGGGTGCTTTACTTACGGAAGGCATTGACGTGTCAGGTACTGAAATTAAATTTTATGATTGTTAGGAGAAATATAAAAAGTAATCATGTAATTAGAAATAATTTCAAAATTTATAGATTAAGTCTACAAAAAACTTACTCAGGACAGGGTCAGCAACATGATGTTCTTTACTTGTGGAAGCCATTGGTGCATCAGGTATAGGCACTAAAATCAATTAAAATTGAATTGACACACAAAATACACATAAATTAATTATTTGAGACATCAGTTCAAGTCAAAAATTAAGTCTTTAAAAGAAAATAATATTATGTTTTCAATTTCGCGTTATTATATACTAGAATCATTGTTAAGTTGAAAACAAGCCCGCTGTAGGATTCTGTATGGCATCGTAGAGCGGACTGGTTTTCGCTGGTTTGGAAGCAGTTTTGCAATTCATTTTCATCCAATGTATTTTCGGTATCATAAGACAAACCTGTTTTGTTCTTTGCAGCAGTATGCAGAGGAAAATGTTGAAGTTGTTTATCAGTCAGTGGAGGTGAGGATAATTGCAGTTTAGGTACAGCAATATTCTTCAAACGATTCATTTCCTTACTAAAATGACTTTTTTCGAAGTGATCTCCGCAGATATGGCGTCGTTCATTAAGTTTTTCAATAGGCATATGTGCCAAATCTTCAATGCCAACAGCTCTAACCCACTCCTTGCAGCTGAAAGTATAGATACTTATTTACCAAACAAATTTTCATAGTTTTTTAGTTAAAAAGATTTTACATGAAAGATCAATATCAGAGGATGCATACGCAAACTGGTCATCAATTTAATTGTTGTACCTTATATATTAACCCAACTCACTAGAAAAGGATAAATAATCTTTAATTTTAAGATTCTACCTTGTAAAATGTCCAAAGTTAACCTATACAAATGTGGTGACATGTAATGAAATATAAAAAAAAAATTTAATTTAAATCTTAACATCATTGCAGTACAGGCTAATTTTGCTTTCAAAAATTTAAGGGCCCAAAAACACCATACTTCTAATGGAAACTTAACAAAATGCACCATATGCAGCTTCTACTGGAAACTTAACAATGTGCACCATATTTACCTTCAACTGAAAATTACTTGAACATAAGAGTAATGGAGCAGTCTTTATTGTAAATATTAATTGATTTTTATATATACACTCTCGGACACATAATTCGAGTCACTAAATAATAATAAATTAAAATTTTAATAAATTTTTAAAAAAGTATAAAAACATAATGCTAAAAATGTGACATAACAACTTACAAATTTACAATGATATGCATAAGTCAATGATGATATGCCTCAATTTCACATTTTTCTTAAATTTTAAGCCATAAAGGCTTTAATTTATATTCTATAGGGTATTCAGTGGCTGTCGAAATGTGTATTCGAGATGAAAGTCGGGCCAACGATCGCTACTGACATGCTAAATGACACAAAGTATAGTACCAAATGTTTCGTTATGCTAACATGACATAGGTTACTATAATGTTTACTTACCGGATTTCATCCAGTGGAAATTTGGCAAAAAACTTAGAATCGTCGTAGAGTTCGTTCGGGTTACTCTCTTGTTTGCCTCAAATTACACAGTTTCGATGGCTTGTACAACCCATTTCATACGAAAAACCACGAATATATCACAAAAAAAGAGTCACTTTCCCGAAAGAGATTTTCAGTAAAATAAGTGAATATAGGAAGGGAAAATACAAAAAAGCACAGGGTCGACTGCAAATACAGAGGAACCGAAGCTCAACTCGATGTAATCACAGGACAAATATGCAGAATAAACACAAAACACCGCAGGCGCAGAGCAGCTGATACGGAAAACAGACAAGAAAAATAGCCGCCATTCGGGATTTGATAGGTTATAGGTATTGCCATAATAAGCAGTTTCATTTCGTCTCATTAAGCCAATTACAATTATTTTAAATAGACCTAAAATCCTTTTGTAACACATATAAAATAGACATATATCCAGTATATAATATGTTAATGTGGTATAATTACACCAAGATCACGGAAAACGCAAATGGATAATAAGTACTTATATTCTAAATCTGCCAATTAAAAAAAAATATATTGCATATGGCGGTACATGTTATTTTTTTGTGTGGGTGGCAGTAAAAATGGTCTAATTTCATATAAAAAAATCGATGTATGGCAGTTTCGAGGGCCTGCTTGTGAGTATAGTGTTCTGTGGTTAGCATCTAATAGGCCGTGAATAAAATAAAGTTTCGGTAGGAAGCGTATTACGTGTTATAAATTTTCCAGTAAACGATTTTAGTACGTTGTATTGAAGTATTCGCAGTCATTTACCTGAAAAAGAAATTTCATGCTAGGAACGGTAAGGGAAGATTAACCTGTCCGATACAGAATACACCGTTTTGTAAGGTTAGTAAAGGTTATGTTTACGTGGACCAGAACTAAACATACAAAATATCATCATTTTTGTATAATTATTGTCCTGAGGTACAGCTACTTCATACAGTCCAAATGTGTGGTTTGAAGTGGCATATTCTGCCCTCCTAACTGAGAGTGCAGTAACTAAGTCAAACCTGTTTGAGAAAAACGTGGTTAAAGAAAATAATTTAAATTTTATTCTAGCTTCAAAACTACGTAAGTTACAGTGGCATGGCATATATCATCAATAGAAGGTAAAAGAATGAAGAATTGTAAGGTGACATATTTATATATGTATGTTAAGGTTATATATGATAGTATTTCAAAAGTATACTTATGTTTAGTAACTGCTCTAGAAACACAACTGATCTTCCTAACCATAATGGCAGTAAATACCTTAGATACTGCACTTATTATTAGATACATATCGTACTGCTGATTAACCTAGAAACTACATATTCAAGAACAAATTATTAATAATATATATAATAAATAACTTCAGTATCTATTAAATTACTGCAGTTTTTGCTAAAAATACCCATCATATTGATGCTATTTTCTAATGTTTTATGTAGTTGAACCTCATAATTTGTTAGTATTTTCTTACTAAACATCGACGTAAAGTGGCAGCATGCTGCATTGCTTGAGGTTTTTGAGAGTATCAATGGCCTAATTCCCGCCCTTCAATTGTTCTTTCCTTTCTCACTTCCTTCCCTTCTGAAGTGTTAGCCATGGCTGAGTAACACCACTGGTATGGCGCTTGCTTGTATGGTATGTTACTCAGCCATGGCTAATGTACGCTTGTACATGATAGATTACGGTAAGAGTTTGAGTCCCACTGTTTATTGTATACGCAACTGCTTATTCAAGCAATAAATTAAGTCGGACAAAGTGTTAATTGGATTGGGAATATAAAGAGATGAGAAAATGTAGTATTTTATATAGATATATGTTAATTTCGCACATTTATAAAATTAGAATAAAACATAAAATTCCTGTATAATGTATTTGTTCAAATCCCAGACATATTATTCCCAGATATTATGAACCCTTAATCACATTTCGATTGACAATAAACAATAGAAAAAAAATCAAACCTTGCCTTATATTGAAGTTAGTTAAAGTTCAGTCTCCTTATTACAATCACTTGGTTGAGGAACTATAATTTGAGATCACATTTCTTTATTAAAGATCTAAGTATATTATTATTACTAATGCTATGACAACTGCTATAACACTCAGTCTTCTCTGATTAAATATTTTACTTGAGATCGACTTTATATGTCAAAAATAACACTTGTTGTTGCCAGGACTGGTAGCTGTAAAGGTACTAACTGGGTGATAAATCTGCAATAGATTTCTCATAGATGGCGCTACGACTAAAAAGTCGTTGAAAGACCAAGTACAAAGACACGACGCAAGCACATAGAAAAATTTGTGAGGTCCGTTGGTTCATTCCGTGGCTTAGTTGGTATAGCGTCTGGCACGGTATGCAAGAAGACGTCGGTTCGAATCCGACCGGATCGAAGGAATTTTTTCTGAGTGTTCGATCTTTGTATTAATAATTATAACAAACTAGTGGAGTAATTTCACAAAAAATAATTGAATATCAATTCAATAAAAATTTAATTAACACTTGTTTACAAGTATTTATAAACATTACACATTACGCACAGGAAGCGGACGACGCTCAGAGGAGTATTTCACCTCAAAAGTTGTACAAGATAATTTTGTGATTTTCATCGATTTGACATGTAATAAAAAGCTGTTTAAACTCATTACATTGTATTGAAAACACATATTTTTCATTGTATTGAAAATTAATTGCTAAAAATATAATATTAATGGGATTCGTCGCCATAAGGCCCTTCTGATGCTTCCGGCAGCAGAAGTTTCACTGGAGACAAATTTACTTTTTTTCTGTGGCATTTGCATTGTACAGCTCAAAAAAGGATCAGAATTTAAAAGTCTGTGCAACATGTACATGTGCAACATGTACATTTATTTAAAAACATTATCAAGAAGAATTAAGTTTTAAGTTACACACACAATCATAAGTTAACTATGCTTTGATATACATAACCATGTGTGAATATAGTGATTACAAAAAAAAAAACGTTATTTTATTGTGGAATGTATATGGTAAGAAATATCACTTTACCAGGTGCAATCCAGGAAATATAATTTTAAATTAAAGTACGTACCTTCCTCTTCAATATTCATCAATAGGTATTGCAAAACTTTCACCACACATAAACGCAGAATTGGATTGAAAGATTACGCTTAAACAGGAGTGCTGAAATTCCCGTTTAGTGGTGTAACGGTAATTAAGCTTTAACGATACACGCTTAGAATAATAACGCATAGAAACCTAGCCCGCACACGCTAAGTGAGGCAAATTGTAGGACGCCGTATAGGCCTACATGAGCGAGCGGGCAGTCAGTGCTCAAGAACAAGCTGTACCGCGAACAGCTCAAAGATTTTTGCTAAAAATGACGAAATGTGCGGTAATTGGGTTTAAAAATAGATCAGACAAACATAAAATAGACACTAACATCACATTCCACAAGGAAGTAACGCGTTTCAACTTGTATTTTTATGTAAATATTCACTAAAACAGAAAATTAATTTCGTTGCAACAAGATACGAAAATGTTGCAAAGTAACGGGTTTTTTCTCCCCATTTTGCTATTCTGTTTCAAAATAATTATATTACGTATTTTTTTGAGAATAGGCAATATCGCGACGGTTGCAAAATTTCTACAAATGTACACCGCCGCAACAACATTGTCGGGAATTTACGTTAGCTATTTTTACGAAATATATTTAGTATTTGCCTTCATTAGTTTCATGTGAAAAATCATTATTCTTGTTCATCATACACTCATTTTAAAAAATTGTCTTGGCCAGACTCAAAAGTTCGTAACTAAAATTATTTCAGGGAACTAACACTGACTAAAAAGTCATCAGCAGTTCTCCAAAATCGTGTATAAATAACTTTCAGGTTCAGGTTCAAATTCAAATTCAAATTCAAAATAATCTTTATTTCATAGGTAAGCATTATTACACTTGAAATCGTCACAATGGTTAAACTCTACCGCTCATTCGTAAGGCAGATTCCCCTGAGAAGAATGAGCAAGAAATTCTAGGGGTTGCTCTTTGTAAATAACGTTTACAATATTTTTTTATTTGAAACATCAGATTGAGACTACCTCCATGAGCTAAACGGGTTACTACCACGGATTTTTGTCATCCAAGTACGCAGAAGTTGTATAATAACCTTTAGTATAAAGTTTTTGTTTCACTATAGTTTTAAACCTCGTGAAAGGCAAATTTTGTATATCAACCGGAATCTTGTTATAGAAGCGTATACATTGCCCCTTAAATGATTGTTTGACTTTGTGAAGACGACTATCAAGAAAAGCTAGTTTATTTTTATTCCTCGTATTAATGTTATGTCTGTCACTATTTTTCATAAAGAAATTACTATTCCTTTTAACATAAATTATATTTTCATAAATGTATTGTGAGGCTAGTGTAAGAATGTTAATTTCCTTAAACTTATCTCTCAAAGATACTTTGGGGCCCAGATTGTAAATTGCCCTAACTGCACGTTTCTGCAGGACAAAGATTCTATTGATATCGGCGGCATTACCCCAAAGCAAAATGCCGTATGTCATTAGACTGTGAAAGTAGCTGAAGTAAACCAATCTAGCGGTTTCGACGTCTGAAAGTTTCCTTATTTTTTTAATCGCGTACACTGCAGAGCTGAGCCGTTTTGACAACTTACTTATATGGGGACCCCATTGCAATTTAGCATCTAACGTTATACCTAGAAATACAACTGTATCCACAAGATTCAATTTTTCGTTTCTAACTACAATGTTTGTAACCGTCTCTCTAACATTGGGTAATGTAAATTTCACACAATTTGTTTTTTTCTCATTAAGAAGTAGGTTATTAACAGCAAACCAATCAACTACTTTAGATATAGCATTGTTCACATCGTCATAGGAACATTGGTGCCTTTCAACTTTAAATAATAAGGAAGTATCATCAGCAAACAATACTATCTCATGTTTTATACCCTCCATAAGGCTAGGTAAATCATTAATATAAACTAAATACAACAATGGGCCTAGAATTGAACCTTGAGGGACACCCATGCTAATTACAGACCCTGACGATCTCGTACCGTTAACATCGACCCTCTGTACCCTACCACGCAAATACGATTTAAGAAGGTCGAGATCACGTCCCGCCACACCATAATGGCGAAGTTTCCTGACCAGTGTATCATGGTGCACACAATCAAAAGCGTTGGAAAGGTCACAGAATACACCAATAGCATCATGTGAGACTTCCCATGCATCAAATATATGATTAATCAACTCTACACCAGCGTCGGTTGTAGAGCGACCCCGAGTGAAACCAAATTGTTTAGGAGACATTAAATTATTACTATAAAAATGTGCACACATCTGATTTAGAATAATTTTTTTCAAATATTTTACTGAGAGTTGGTAGTATTGATATAGGTCTGAAATTGGTGGGGTCAGAAATACTACCAGATTTGAAAAGTGGAATAACTTTACTTTGCTTCATGAGGTCAGGAAAGACACCATCATCAACACATTTATTAAAGACACAGGCTAAGTAAGGCGCAATACAATCAACTATAGAACTAATTACTCTGACTGAAAGACCATCATGATCAGCAGTATTTTTTATGTTTATAGACTTAAAGGCTTTAACAATATCGTTTGGAAATACATGACTAAACCTTAAATTAGTGATACTAACTGCATTATTTTCTTTTAGTAAGGATTCAGCGGCCGTGGGAGATGAATTTAACGAATTAGTAGTCAAAATTGGAATGTCGGTAAAAAAATTTTCAAATATTTTAGCAACTTCTGCGTCTGTGTTTACAATTTTGTCATTAAATCTTAGTTGAAAATCTAAGTTACGAGGTTTGACCCTTCCAGTTTCGCTATTTATAATATTCCAAGTCGTTTTTACTACATTCGCGCTGCTTTTTATTTTATTATTAATAAACATTGCTTTGGCTGCCACACAAACACGTTTAAACATTTTCGAATATTTCCTAACAAAATCATTAAAACTGTTACTAGTGTTATAAGTTCTTTCATCGTAAAGATCATACAGCCTTTGTCTACTTTTGTGAATTCCCACAGTCGCCCATTCACTAAATTTCAATGAATTATTAATAGTTATGATTTTGGACTTAAAAACATTATCACGTTCACTTTTCACTATGTTGAAAACTGAATTATACAATTTATTGGGATCGTTAATGTACGGAATGTCAGTTAGTTTAAGCATTACGTTATTTCTATAAGCTTTAAGTCGACCATTATTTATCGGAACACATGTGATATCCTATTTCGGCATTTTGTCAACAGTTATATTAAAAGTGGCCAATTGACCGCAGTGATCTGAAGTTAATTTATTTATAATAGATTTATTACTAGGTACGGCGTTGGTATAAATGTTGTCTAAACAAGTGGCAGTAGTAGAAGTTATTCTAGTAGGCACCAAAAAAAGATTCACAAGGTTATAACATTGGAAAAATGATATGAGCCTACTGCTAGCACTGGAATCTTCTAATAAGTTAACATTGAAGTCACCACAAATAGCAATATATTTATTTATATTATTTAATTTGGCTAAAACTTCATGTAATCTTTTTTCAAATAGTTCGTAAGATGAATGAGGGGGTCTGTACACGCTTAATATAACAAGCCGTTCAAGCTCTATGCAGGATATCTCTATAGTCCGCTCAATAGATAGGCTCACAATATCTGTACGGTCTTTAAATTTTGAATTATTTTTAATAAGAATTAAAGAGCCGCCATGAATAGCTTTTTCTCTGCTGAACGAACTAGCCACCTGGTGATTGTTGAAGCTAAACATGAACTGATGTTGTGATAGAAAGTGGTGTTCAGTAATACAAAGAATATCAATATTGTTACAGTTAATAAATAATTCTATTTCTAGCTCTTTGCCTTTCATGCCTTGAATATTTTGGTGCACCAGGTTTAATATAAAATTTATTTTATTTCTGTGTGTTTTAGGTTGGTTTCTTACTTGTTCTTTATTGTTATCGTGTACTTTTCATGTAAACATACCCACAGATAATATCAGGCTATTTATATATCCAAATTCGATAGTCGCACTTAAACTCGCATGTAGGTTTTTCAAAAATGTATTTTTAGTAAACCATAAAGAAATGGCATGTATGTATATCTGAAGACAAGATAGCGGGCAAGACTTCTAATTCTTCTTCTTCTAATTCTTCGCCATCTTGGATTTAGAAATATGTGCTACATTCGGAATGAGCAGCTCCAAATACCTTGAAAACGACACCCAACTTGCTATTATTCGAAAAATCGTGCCCGTCATCTTGGATTTAGAAATTAGTGCCATATTCTTAATGAGCACCCCCCAATAACCTCGAAAACGACACCCAACTTGCTATTATTTGAAAAGTCATGTCCGCCATCTTGAATTTAGAAATAAGTGCTATATTCCTAATGAGCACCCCCAAATACCTCGAAAATGATACCCATATTGCATTTATTTCAAAAGTCGTGTCCGCCATCTAGGATTTAGAAATAAATGCCATATTTTTTATGAGCACCTCGAATACCTCGAAAACGATTCCCATTTTGCGTGTCCGCCATCTTGGATTTAGAAATGAGAAAAGTCGTGTCCTCCTTCGTGTATTCAGATATAAATGCCATTTCCATAAGGATTACCAAAAATAAATTTTTGAAAATTCCTGTCACTTGACGTTGTCGATCAACAGTAACGATCGACAAAATCGAGCATATCTGTAGGCACCTGATCGACAAAATCGAGCAAATCTGTAGGCACCTCTAACTTAACGATGAGTTAAGCAAGATACAATTTCCCCACTTTTGAGGGAAATGTTATTCCATGGCATCATTATTTGTATATTTGTGTGCGTGCCGACGAGCGTAAATACAAGTTGCTTACGCCTACATGAATTTGATTTTTGCCTCACTTGTGACAGTTCGTTTGATATGAAACTATCATTCTATGCGTTATTTTATTATTCTAAGGATACACGTTTTGTAGATGAATTTAACAAAATTTTGAAATCTACTTTTGATCGATTTTTGCTTAGAAATACACCTGTGTGCGATGTGATTGCCTCTAGCTTAGAGACATCTTCTCACCTGTTATAACTGTAGTATCTATACTAGTTATTACAGTTTTATTAGAATTGCAACTACAGAATGTTATTGATTTCCTTATAATAACCGCAGTATCTAATAGATACTGCACTTATAATTAGCTCTAAGATGGTATATTAGCTCTGAGGTGGTAAATTTTTAAAACATAAATAAAATAAGTGCAGCAACTATTAGATACTGCATTTATTGCTAGAGTTCCATCGCCATTGACTCAAATTTTACTCAAAAATTACATAGTGACTAATCTTACTGCACTTTAAATTAGCAAATGTTATACATTGTACTAAGTTACTGCAGTTTTACTTCCCAGTTCCCGTGGGAATTTTGATACGTGACTTAGGGCCAAATAGAGATCTTGTTTTGGGCCAAATATACTTAGATCTTGTTTTGTTGTAAACGATTATGTATTTAACTCAATTTCGTCAAACATGCTAGTTACTGCATTTTCCACTAGGAAGGCAGTATTATTTGTCACATTAGCTTAAAGTTTGGTTCAATGTAGCTATATTATGTGTGTATTTTGAAAATATTTTCAGGTTTTATCACTTGGGAAAATTGCTATAAAATGATATAATTTTTAGTTACTTATTAACAGTGATCAGAATTGAGGAAGTGAATACCTAAAGTGTGAACGTTTCCTCTTCGTATGGACATACTCATTTTGTGATGTAGCCAAAAAATCCCAGTATTCTTAATACAATATCAATTATATATTTATTGCATACATATATATTGCATACATTTTTTTTACTGTTTCTAAACATTCCAACATATAGTTTGTCTCGTGTTTATTTTTTAAACGACTGAAATATTTCAATACGTAAGTACTTATAGAAACACAACTACAATATTATTTTTTTGAGACAATAATTTGTAAACATTTGTTTTTGTAGTAAATGCTTAATAGAAAATAGTAATTTGTAGCGAATGTACTCAAATATAAAAAAATAATATGCATATTCAAATATAATCAGTTCCAAGAAATCCCGGAATTTGTAGAAGGGAATATTCACATTATTCTTTATTTTAGCTGAATAAACTCCATCAATTCCGAACACTGCTTATTAATTATGAACAAAGAATATCTAAAAAATAGTTTACTTTTACCAGATACTGTTCAAGTTTACGCAGCATAGTGAGCAGATGCCAGTCAGCATGACACTCCAGAAGCTACCAAAGAAAGAGAAACAGATAAAGGCAATGCTCAGTAAAGAGTTCAACTTTCTGAAAAATGTTTTTTCAGTTATGTCTTTACCAAAACAGATGAGAGGCAAGTTCTTTGATTGTTGTGGTACTAACTTTAAATACAGTTATAACAAATTTTGCGTACTCAGTGATGTTATTAATATAGCTCTTTAAGGATTACATGTTGACCCTAAATTTCACAATATAGGGATTTTTTTTGAGCGCTTCAAATCTTTACATTCATTTTAAAAATAGTATATAAATTGAGTAGCGTCAGAACACAAACTGATAAGTCACATTTTGATTTGTAAGAAAAAGTTTTAATGCCGGAACAATAGTTTTTGTACGTTTCCATGAATAATTTATCCCACCTGAACAGCAAACGGTAAATCCTTCTTCAAAATAGGTTTCAAATATGTGAATCTGAACAAAATTAGAAAAATTCTGATGAAATTAGATTCATAATTTATTGGTTTTGTTCTGAAGCTCCACAATTGTTACAGCCATCGTTTGTTTTATCTTGTTTTTAATTTATCTTTTTTTTTTATTTTGTCTTTGTTTTAGATGATTATGAAGAGAATGCAGATTTTGAAATTATAAATGACCCAACCAGTGAAGAGAAGGAGGTGCCAAAGAGGGCCCGCAGTATAGCAGAACTGGAGGAAAAGCTAGAAAAAATAAAATCTCAAAAAAACTTCAACTTGAAGAACAAACTTGCTAAAAAGAGTTTGAACAGCAAGCTGAATAAGAAACTTAAAAAGAATGAAAGGCAAAAGAAAAGTAAAGTGAAGCCTACACAGTATAATTCAACAGAAAGTGTAAAAGAAGTTAAGATAAAATCACAAGCTAATGTGAAACCAGTCTTTAACACTGAAGGCAAATTAGTTTTTTCTAAATTTGACTTTTCAAATATTGGACATAAAGGTAAATAATACTCAATGGTATGCTTAAGATTTTAACTTATTTATTAACTGTTACCAACAGTTACCGTGCAGGACTGTCACGCAGAGGTCCCGGGTTCGATTCCCGGAACGAGAGAAATATTTGTATGGCTTACATTTATTGCGTGCGTGCGTGCGTGCTTGCGTGCGTGCGTGCTTGCGTGCGTGCGTGCGTGCGTGCGGGCGTTTGTGCGTGCGTGCGTGCGTGCGTGCCGCCGGGCGGGCTTTTCGTTTGTAATAGTTTATGGTTACATTTATTTATAGAAAAGATGCACCAAAAAGCTGAAAAGGATCCTAAGAAAATTCTAGAAAACCTTAAACAACAAGAACAGAAGTTTAAGGAACTGGAAGAGACACAATATGACAAAGTGAAGGAAATGAAGGAGAAGATAGCTTGGAAGAATGTTCTGCTGAAGGCTGAGGGAGAGAAAATCAAGGATGATCCTATTTTATTGAAAAAATCTATAAAGAAATTGGTAAGACATTTAGAAATATGACAAAATAGCCACATCCGCATTCAGTGCATCCATGATCTATAATAGTGCACATCCATTTTGCACCCACTTATTATTTAGTATGCTTTTGATATTGTACTTAGGTATTATATCTGGTTTAGATATGAGCGCCGATAATAGACCAACTGGAGGCGGTGCGCCGAAGAAAAAGTATCGGCAGCGGCGGCATTTCGGCGACTATGAAACGAATTTCGACTCATCCAAAGAACAGAGCCCGTTGTGATTAAATAGCGAAAAGAGAATAGGTACAGACGCCAGCACATCAAGCTACACATTGACGTATCTTGTTCCGTTGCACTGGAGGCGATTTCGAACAAAAATGTGTAGTCTGATGTGCCGTTGTCCGTACATTACGAGAATAATTTGGTAAAGTTGTTTTGAGAATTTATATACCTTATTTCGTTTCGGAAATATAAAATGAAACAACAGGCGATCTGACATCCACAGCGAAGAAGAACGAACGAAATGTACTATATCCCGAGAACAAGTAGTCTTGCGCATAGATCTTTATTTTACAGATGAGTGGATTTGTAAGACTGTTTGTTTTTACAAAAACTGTTATACAAATACTTTTGCAAGAAAAATAAAATAACGTATTTTCTATAGTAATCAAATTTTTATCAGGACGCACTCGCTTCCGTATTGTATATACGTAGCGAAAATGGCGACATCAGAAATGGACAAATTAATGTTTTAAACAAAACATCTTCGGATATAAAGTCACTAAGTTTTATCGTAGAAATGTCGCGCTCATATCTAATCTAGTTTGAGAGATAGCTCAAATTGACGCTTACAATTAGTACTTTTGAAAACTAACAGGTCAGGTTTTTTGTTACAGGAACAAAAGAAGAAAGACAGTAAAAAGCAATGGGACAATAGAATTAAAAATGTAGAAGAAAAGAAAGATGCCAGGCAGAAGAAGAGGAAAGAAAACATTGCTAAGAAAAAAAAAGAGAAAAAGTCAAAAGTTGTCAAGGCTGCTGTTAAAAGAGGAAGAATTATTATCTAAATTGATAGGCCATTGACACTTTAAAAAAATATAAGGATGAATTTTTATTTAGACTTAATTAATATTTCGCACTTCACTTCAGTGAAACAGTGACTTTACATTTTGTCGGGGATAGTATAATTATGCGTAACTAGCATTGGATAATTGCGCGTATCTGACAAATGTAGCCAATTTGAGCTTTGCACGGCAGTCCACGTAGTTATATGATTGGGGCTAGTGACGAAGAGACTCAGTCTTGTAAGGCCTTTTATAACGACTCGACTCCGTTTTACAGGACTCGACTCTAAAATGAAGACTGGGGTTTCGAGTTTTCATTAATAAGACTCAGTCGTTATACTAAAAGACTTAAACGACTTGAAAGACCTGTTGTTTGCAAAGGACTTACACCGATTTTATGTCTTATTAAACCCGAAGTTTATAAATAAAAATGACGTAAGTAGTATGTAGTAAATAATCACGTTTACGTGTACGTAATAATTACGTTACTTATAATAAAAATCGTAAAATACATACCTTGTGGGTAGAAATAAAATCACGCCATACGGCTCATGACTCGCGACTCCCGAGGCTATGAGGCGCCAGTCGTTTTAGTCCTATAAGTCTTTTAAGCTTGCTAGGGTGAAAAGACTCGAATTAGTCTTCAGTTTAAGTCTTATGACTCAAGACTTAAGGGTTAAAAGACTAGACTCGTCGTGAGGCGTTGAAAATTAGTCGAGGCTTTTAAAAGACTGAGGGCCGTATTCTAGAACTCTACTCAATGCTCAAGTCAGGATTTGAGTATGGTTTAAAGCACTCGAAATCAAAAGTGCTTGTGTTTGTAGTGCTTGTGTTTGTAGTGCTTGTGACCCTTCGGGTCGTATTCCAGTACTCTACTCCAATGCTCAAGTCAGGATTTGAGCAGACTTGAATATGATTTGAAGCACTGGAAATACGACCCTAATGGCAAGGACTTGAGTATGATTTTCAGTGCTCACTGCAATACTCATGTCCTGACTTGAGTATTGAGTAGAGTTCTGGAATACGACTCTAAGGGTCGTATTCTAGAACTCTACTCAATGTTCAAGTCAGGATTGCAATTGAAACACAAGCACTGGAAATACGACCCTAATGGCAGGGACTTGAGTATGATTTCTAGTGCTTTAAATCATACTCAAATCCTGACTTGAGCATTGAGTAGAGTTCTAGAATACGACTCTAAGATTCCTATGAACTTAACTTCTTGGAACAAAAGCAAAAAGTTGACAATCTATAGATAGAGATGTGACATTTAATTGATATCGACATTATGTTTCATAACTAGCGGAATATTGAACTAGGCATTGCTTGATACTTGCTATAATTAGGGTTAACTACGGAGTATATGGAAACGGCATTTAAAGCAATTTCTTTGAGAACTAGCGTAGCTGACTTTTACACGCACACACTTGTTACCAAATACGCATATGGTTTTACTACACTCAAACATTAATTGATATTAGCTACGCAGGCGTGTGCGTATACGTAGCTACATGCTACGCATGATAGTATTAATGATTTATTATACTGTCATCGTATTTTTATTAACCTAAGATTACAAGTCAATCCGGTCACTGGAAGGGTTGAAATATTAAAACAGTCATCATAAAAATCTTTATTCTCCCTGAAATATGATTTATTTGTATCAATTACCTCTTTTTGAACTGACTGAACATGACTATACCTATAGCGTCGACGAGCTTGTCAAGTAAATGAAGATACTTATATCCGAAAGCGAAGAAGTGAATCATTTGTTTCGTGATAACTTGACAAAAATAACTGACAATGGTTCAGAAATGTTTTCACATTTAAATGTGGTCTATGGTCAAATGATTTATTTGTTATTGAATTTTTCGATTGTTATACATATGTATATAATTTAATGTAATGTCATAAAATGCTTATAGCAAATGGTGCTACATTTAGTAGGTACCCAGCTTTTACTGCCTTTTGGTTCAGCCCATTTCTCCTTTAAAAAGGATCCGGCGGGAAAGTAAAAAAAATTAATACGGAACTTTGGTACGATGATTATAACAAGATAATAACAAGATAGGGTAGGTAGTGTATTATAAGTAAATGTAAACAATGAAGGTTGGAAATTATGAAATGGAAATGAGATGGTAATAGTTGAAAATAGTGCAATTTTATGACCCACAGGTTAAATTATCTAAATGCTTCAAGATTAACAACTATTGTAGTATCTTCACAGCGGAGTGTTATGCTATTTTTCAAGCATTACTTTATGTAAATATTATTATAATAATAATAATAACGCACACACTCAACAGCCCCGCACTAGGGAAATCCTGTGTCGCGGGTGCTATGGACACACATAGACAACCACAAATTACACCCAAACTCACGAGAGAAATACTCGTAAATGTAGGCCATATAAATATTTCTCCCGGCCCGGGAAT